GCTGCCCCAGCACAGGCCCCGCCGCAGTGTGGTCACTGGCCCCAGGGGCCCCCAGTCCCGTAGGCTCTGTGACCACGCACGGAGCCAGAAGGCCAGGTCCCCCCTCCTCCCCAGGACAGCGCAGTCCTGCTCTGGAGGCCCATAAGAGACAGGGCTGAGGGAGGTAAGGGCAAACTCGTGGCCAGTGGGAAGACAGCAAAAAAAACCCCAAACCAACAGTGCAGAGGGGACAAGAGGCCCAAGAATATCCCAGAGGTAACAGAGGTGCTGAGAACAGGGGTGAGAGAGGAAAAGGGAGTCTGGGACCGGCTGGCCATAGGCACTGGCAAGGCACAGGAGTGGGGACAATGGGCAGGGGGAGCGGCGCTGGCAAACTCGTGGCCAGTGGGAAGACAGCAAAAAAAACCCCAAACCAACAGTGCAGAGGGGACAAGAGGCCCAAGAATATCCCAGAGGTAACAGAGGTGCTGAGAACAGGGGTGAGAGAGGAAAAGGGAGTCTGGGACCGGCTGGCCATAGGCACTGGCAAGGCACAGGAGTGGGGACAATGGGCAGGGGGAGCGGCGCTGGCCCCAGACAGCAGAGAGGGGTTCTGGGATCTCAGTGGTGACCCACACGCTCACCCCCGTGGGGCAAGGCAGTATTCCATCCCTCCTACTCAGGTGATCACTTTAATCCCAAAATATTTGCGCAGCTGTTCCAGGAAGACAAAGGTGAGGACGGTGTGAGGAATGAGCCGGATGGCAGCAGGAACGAAGCCCTGGAAGGGGACAGCAAGAATGGGGAGAGTCAGCATGTGCCTGGCCCTGGGCTTCCCCATCAGGGCCAAGGGTGCCCAGCAGCCCAACCCACAGGGAGCGGCATGAGCTTGCAAGCATGGGGCAGCGGCTGACCGGGCATGCAGCACGAGCTCCGAGGAGCTGGGGACTTGGTGGCAGGCAGAGACTGCCACAGCGGTGAGGGAGGCACCGCAGCCATCGCTGTGCACACAGATCTCAGCATCATGCATCAACCCCTCTGCCCCCAAACACATCAGTGCCGGCATCACCGCTATGTAGGCAGAATCTCAGTAGAAGCCCGGGTCAGATCCCACAGCCCCCGGTTCAGAAGGGGGTTGGACGCTGCCTGGGGAAGATGAGCAGACAGGCTGTAGCAGGGAAAATGCCTGACTGGCAGCATCTGGAAGAAACCTCGGGTTTGAAACCCCTTTTCAGGGGCCCTCCCAGGAGTGAGACTGAACGTACGGGTGACTCCACCAAGCCCGGGCATGACCAGTGTCTGCTGGTCAGTAACATCCAACGAGTGCTGGAGCACCACTGCCTGTACCTGCATTCCCGTTTGGGAACCCAACGGGTGCAACAAGGCAGCTGCTGCGGTGCCCGGACCCAGGCTGCAAGCCCAGAAGAGGCTAAGGCTTGCAATACTCCAGGGCCAAGCCAGGGACTGGCAGATGGAGGCCTGACGCAGGAAGCAGTCAGGCTGCGGGCAGCAGAGCCTGGAAGGCTCCTGCCCCAGAACTGTTCTGGACCCTAACCTCTGCTCCCAGCCTGGCCCAGTCTCCCCACACTCCACTCTACCAGCCCATCCCACACATCCCCAGCCAGGTACCTTGTAGAAGGCGAGGGGGCCGAGCTTGGCAGTTTCCATGGCACAGTGGGTAACACCCTGGAGCAAGAGGGAGAGAGATGAGGAGGTGCCGGGAGGCAGAGGCCAGTGTGCAAAGGGGACAGGACCGACAGCAGCGAGGTGGGCAGGATGGGCTACTCACCCGGTACTCGCCCTGGGAGTTCATGAGGCGGGTCTTGAGCACGTCCAGGGGCTGGCACAGGAATGTGGCGCATCCGCCCTGTGGAGAGTCAGCGGGGGTCAGCAGCTCCAGCTCACAGAGGAGACCCAGGTGCCAGTAACTGCCATGGTCACTGGAGAGACCCAGAGCCCAGCCTGCGCCCAACCCCATGCTGGGAGCCCCCAGGAGCCTCTATGCCCGGCCCTGCTTCATCAGAGTCCTGAGAGGCAGCTCTGGCAGCCCCAGCCTGGAGTCCTGACCCGTCTGCAGGCAAACGCAGTCCCAGTCCTGCCTCCCTGCACCCAGCCCTGCTCACAGCGATGAAGCTGGCCAGGAAGTGAGTGAAGATGTTGTCTGACAGCAACCCAGTCGTGAGAACCAGCTGCTTGGCCTGGTCATAACAAGAAAGCTGCGGAGACACGGCGTATTAGTGACACGTCCCCTGTCCTCGCCGTGCCAGGGACTACCCCTGTCCCTATCCCAGGCACCTGCTGCCCAGCAGAGCTGTCCTACCTGCCCAACGGTGACTAGGGCCCCTCGGCTGGATGCCATCGTAGCTCCCGAGAAGAGTTTCTTCAAGCCCTCTGTGGACAGACAGATTGGGATCAGCACAGTCCTGGGACATTACCCACACTCCCTTCCACCGGGAGCCTCCTTCCCTGCCCAGTCTGTCTCTGACAGACTCCTCATACAACAGTGCTTAAAACACACAACAGCAAATACACTGCAGGAAAGGAGAATCCTTCAGAATAGCCCTGCCTGCTCCCTGCTGCCGTTCATTCCCCTTCCCAGTTGCTCTACCCTCTTGTGCTTTTTCATAGCGGCTCCCGGCACTGGAATACGTGCAGGCTGCCTGGCCCGTGCCCGAGCCAGATGCTGTAGAGGTGCCGGGCTGGGCCCTGCCCTATCCTCGGCT